CCAGGAGGAATAAATGAATGTATTTCTGGTTTATGATAATGAATCCTAAACAGGACTGTTCCATGAGTATCATTTCCCACCATCCCCTCCCTGCCCCAGGACTCTCAAAATAGATGACCCTGCTTGTACTATTAATTGGTTTTCTCCCTTTTTCTTTCTCCATAGTGGACAGAGTTCACAGACCGAACCTTGGCACGTTGCCCTCACTGCAGGAAAGTGTAAGTGATTACGAGTAGAATCATTGAGCTGGTAATCGGGTAATATGTAAAAATTACAGGACCGTTTCAAGCATCTGTTTCTGTTTGCATCCCCACAGGTCATCTATTGGGCGTAGATATCCACGAAAGAGATGTGTCTGCTGCTTCTTGCTTGGCTTACTATTGGCAATCACTGCCACTGGCCTTGCTGTGAGTAACTGATCCAACTCTTTTCATTCTCCAGCCTCATCTCTATAGGCTAAGATTTGGGAATGGCTAACCTAAAAAAAGGGAAAGAAACCAAGGGCGTTTGGTTTGTGTTTTAATGTATAGATGAGCTGAAGTTGAAAGTAACTGATAGTCTTCATTGTTACTATAGTAAAGAACAGCCATCTTCTTTATGCAGAGGATAGGACAATGGAGAAGTGGTATAAATTAGGGGTTGCTATTTAGGGACCTGACACAATTATAAGACATTAAGAAAAACTGACAGATGTTTGGGATTGTATCAGTATATTCCTGCCTAGGGGAAGGAAACTAAGCAACTGGGCCTTTTACCAGGTCCCTGACATAGGCTGCACATAGATAGGGAACAGGGACTGAGGCTTGAGTTGTGTTACTATTGCCAGGGCTCCTAGAAGGTGGTGAGACATCACAGTAACCCAGTATTTCTTTCCTTTGTCAGTTTGGAACATGGAACCATGCACGGCGATATGGAGGCATCTATGCAGCCTGGGCATTTGTCATCCTGTTGGCTGTGCTGTGTTTGGGGCGGGCCCTCTATTGGGCCTGTATGAAGGTCAGCCACCCTGTCCAGAACTTCTCCTGAGCCCCACGATCACCCACAGACTGTGCCTGGCCCCTCCCTGGTGGGGACAGTGACACTTCAAAGGGAACCGTGACAAAAGGCTCCCTGGGCTTCTCTAAGAGGAGCGAAGCAGCTGCCTTCCTTTTCCCTGGGAGAGGTAGGAAGGAACCAGGCCCTCACCTAAGTTCGGAGGGGTAGATAAGACCACTGCTGGCCATCTGCTTTCCTCCAAGGGTCGCTGTGTTTAGGGTGAAGTGGGAGAAATGTTACCCCTAAACCTGGGTCTTAAAAGACGGTTCTAGCCTTGTCCTTCCTATATGCTCCCTGAGCCATTCCTGTCCCTTATACATTCCAGGGCAGGGTTAGGGTGTGTAGCCCTGGGGGTTTCCCTCCCTCTTGTGCACCATTAGGACCTTGCTGCTGCTATTGCACTTCACCAGGGACTGGCTGTGGCCTCAGTACCCTCAGTCTCCTCTCCCCCCATTCCGTGTCCTGTGGGGGTGGGGTCAGCTGCTGCTCTGTACAGAACCACAGGAACTAATGTGTATATAACTATTTAATATGGGGTATGTTCCCCTAGTCCTGTGTTTCCCTTAATTACTCCTTCCAACCTTACCCCTTCCTCCCCCCCAGTTGTAGTATTTCACTGGGCTAGGTAGGGGTACTGTGTTGGGGGAAGTCAGGGACTCATCCTGTGCTTGTAAATAAATAAGGTCATGACTCTACCATTTTCCAGTTGTTAATCTGTATGTAAGAAAAAAAAATGAGGGGAATTTATAGCTCCACAGGGATAGAATACAGAGATAGCAAGGCTGAAACTATGGCTCTTTATTTTCACATGGACAGTTCAAAAGAAGTTGTCAGTAGCTTTTAATGTAAAAAAGGGAAAAAACCCTCCACACACACAAAAATAAAACCTTGGGACTTGAAACCCATCTCATTGGGAGCCTGGTTGAAGGATTCGTATTTTTACAAGGGAAATACAATGCAGAATTCTCTAGAAAGCAAAGAAGTTTTAAAGCTAGTTTAGGGGGCTTATTTCCCAGGCTTAAAATGATTTGGGGGAGGTATCACAGTGCTAGGTATAGGGTGATGGGACAATGGTCACTGCCCAGGGCCTTGGAACGGATCTTGCTGTCACACAATGCAGGTAACAGAGAGTGAGACACCAAAAAGTAATCAAGGCGCCAACCAACGTTTTTGGATCGAGCATTCATCATGTAGGTCCAAAAGGTATAGGCATAGGCCGTGTTTGGGTAGAGGTGCCGAAAACTGTCAGCCAGTGGCACAGCCTGCAGCAATTCCCCAAAGCCTTGTCGCTCTTGTGGAGTGAAGCCAGCATTCTTTTTGTTTCCTTTGGGGTTGCGAAGGTCAATTTCTTCATGAGCCACATTGAGGTCCCCACATAGCACAAGGGGCTTGCGGGAAGCCAAGCCCTTCAGGAACTTGCGAAAGGCTTCATCCCAACGCTGTCGGTACTCCAGGCGCACCAGACCTCGGCCTGCATTAGGTACATAGGCTGTTACCAGCACAAATGTGTCATATTCAGCCACAATCACTCGGCCTTCCTGATCATGTTCCTCCTCACCTGCAGAAAGGATGAAATATCAGTATAAAGAAGTATAAGGGGAACATTTTTTAAAAATAAAAGTATAAGACAAGAGTGGAGAATAAAGGAATCAAGAATTGGGGCTGGAGTGGGGGATTAGCAATTGGTTTGGAAGAGCTCAGGCACTAATATATCAATAGGGTCTCACCAATGCCATAGGAGACCTTGAGTGGGCAATGGCGAGAGAGTAGGCCCACGCCACTGTACCCTTCCTTGTCTGAAGGAGCAGACCAGTACTGATGGGATAGTCCAGACAGCTCTTGAAGTTCAGCTGGTAGTTTATTCTCTGAACATTTGGTCTCTTGCAAGCACAGAATATCTGGGGCTTCTTCCTTTACCCACTGAGTGAAAGGAAAGGTATAAAAAATAGTATCAATTCAGCAGACATTGAAGAATCTGTGCTAAGTACTAGAGATAAGAGTCCCTGTGCATAAGGAGTTTAACAGTTTTAGCAGCACAGAATTTAAGCAGTTAGAAGGAGATAAGACATGCAACCCTGAGATTGTATTTTTTCTATAAGCAGTGGATTGCTAAGATTTTTAAGCATTAGTTATTTCTTTTTTTACATTTTATTAAATTTACTGGGGTGATATTGGTCAATAAGATTATGTAAATTTCAAGTGTACAATTCTATAATACATCATCTGTATGTTGCATTGTGTAAGCAATCGTTATTTAAAAATAGAATATGCTGAAGATAAAAATAGAGCAAGTCCAGTAAGATGTTTTCAACATGCTGGGGAAGAGATGAAGACATAAGACGTTTAAGACTGATAATGGAATGCAAGGAATGGATATGCAAGAAACTGTTGGTATGACTTGGTGAAGCCCCTCCTTGTACCTCTCCCACAAGAAAGCCATTAAAAAAACCAAACCACCAGACTAAAGTGGGAAAAGGTGATTAAACTCCAAGATCATTCAATACTAAAGACTGTCTTTTTCCCCAACTTGATTTCCACTCACATCTAAACCTTTCTTCTTAATCCAGGCTCGAAGCCCATCCACATTCCAGGAACAGATCTTGAGGGTGGCGGATTTGCCACTGGGCGAGGTTTTCTGATCTGGGGGGTCCTCATACAGGACTGACCCCTCTCCTGCTGCTGCCTCTTTTTCTTTTTTCTTTGCTCCCGTTCCCGCCTTACTCTTCTTGGCCTCTGGCTCTATAAAATAACACATAGTGATAAACTAGGTATACAACTTTCACCCGAAGTTAACTATAGGCCCACTGAGCCTGCAGTTGCCACGACTTCACAAACTGCAAAAACGTGGTGCGTCGGTCCGTACTTCCCGTTTACCGAAGAAATTAGAAGCACCACCATCACAGCCTCTAGGGAGGGGGGCTTATTTCACGCTCTTACCAGTCTTGGGCTCTTCCCCGTCTTCTGCCACCGCTGCCTTTTTCCCACGCTTCGGCATAACTGTAACGAACGCCCTCCGGCACCACGTCGCCCAGCGAAGCTGTATTTTTACCGCCCTGCCTACAGACGCAAATAAGTGGTGAAACCAGCTAAAGCTGGGGAAAAGGCTCCTCCCGTGCGCGGCGCGTTACCTGTGAATCCCTTCCCAGCCTACATGCGCCATGGGCCCATTAGCCCCTCACCCACTACCCGAGACCGTTTCAGAGTGATCTCTGCACCCTCCTCGCGAGATCGTCCCTCAGGCCACTCGGGGGCCTCAGTGAAGGGTCTCGGCTTACGCTGGCGGGTCAGCAGCCCAGAGACGCCCCTCTGATGGGCAAAAGAACAAGCAACCCGGTGTCTGACCTGCTCGAGCTCAGCCGGAATCCTTCTCACCCAGCACAAAGAATGGAGCACGCTGTGCTCCCACGTGGGTAACTGGCGTGGTCACGTGATCTGGGGTAGTTCTCCCCTCCCCCCACGTAGCGGAGAAATTCCCGCGATTAGTCGGTCTGCACCACGTGACGGAGAAGCTAGGCCTCCCCTCCTCCAAAGTCTCCAGGAGTGAAGGCCCCAGCCCTCCATTCTCGGATTGTTCATCGGTGTGCCAGCTGCGTGACTGCTTCTGCCACTCTAACCGCGATCTCGGCGCTGCGCGCGAGGGACAACAAATGCGTGCAGAAGGCTGGGCTGGACGACCGGTGACAGGCGAAGGGACGGGCAGGAATGTAAGGAGCAGGTGCCGGCTCAGCGTCCCTGGCAGTTCGGAGGACAGGTTCTTCAAGGGGCCTTGACGGTCGCCGTGACGACGGGGGCGGGCCGGCGCAGCGCGCCCAAGTTTGGAGCCCGTGGGTGTGCGTGCGGCCCCCTAGCAGTTGCGGGCTCATCTCCCTCCGCCCTCCGGGGTCTGCGCTCTGCACCGACCCGCGAGGACTCCACGGCTGCGGGGGTAGCCGGGAGCCCCGCGGGCGCTTTCTCCCAGCCTCGGCCATGCCAACCGTGCTGGGTTTTGAAGGCAGCGCCAACAAGATTGGCGTGGGAGTGGTGCGGGATGGCACGGTGCTGGCAAACCCGCGGCGGACTTACGTCACGCCTCCCGGCACAGGTGAGTAGGGAACTGAACATTTGAAGGGTGCTTCTCCGCCCGGCATCATTTTCCATCTTCCTAAACACTAGCGAAGGAGGGCGTGGAGCGCATTGTCCGCTCGTAGAGTTTTCGATTCGAGTCTCAGAGATTCTGTGACGTTTACGTCACAGAGCTGATGGATAGAAGAGCCACAGGCACTTGCACCTGGGTCTTCAGGGCTCATTCAACTCTTATGGAGCGCCTTTTATGTGCTGATTGTCAGTCAGCTGGCTGTTGGATACAAAAATAGTTGCACACGAAAGTAGATGTGATGAGCCTGCTATGGAGTTGGACGTGTAAACAGAATTTTACAGTATGATAAAGAGTATAACATATAGATGCGATCAGACTATTTTAGGATGAGTGTAAAAACGCCCAGTTCAGGTGGGAAGCAGAATTGGCTGGCTTTACAATATTCATGTTCAGTATATGTTTCTGGACTTCTTTACTCTTAAAATGGGAATGACACCTGCATCACTGGGTCGTGAGAAAGTGCCAGTCACATTACACCTTTTAATAAATGTTATTTGTAAGTTATGATGTTATATCATGCCTACCCTTCCCCAAAACACCTGTGTGTGTGTATGTGCGTGTGTGTGTATATATATATGTATGTGTGTGTGTGTATACATATATATACACATATATATATATAGGAGAGGGCAACTGACTTGGATATACCTGAAAAGCCTCCCTGAACAGGTGATGATGTGACAGGTTACTACTCCTTAGAAATACATGCACGTTTAGCACTCCTCTTCTAGGCATTTTGGCACCAGGAATACATAGATGAATAAAATAGCCAATGTTTTGAGATGCTCACAGTTAAACTGGGGAAACTACAAATAACTATAATGCTATAACTGTTACATGTTAAATGCGGTTTTAAATATTTTTGCCACAAACATTTTCACTGCACAACTAATTGATCATAAGGCAATTTCACTGTTTCACTGTAAAAGATAAAATAACTGGTTGACAGTTTGGTTGACATTTGGCAGACTTAATGTATTTCAGCTAGTTGACAGTTTGGTTTCATTTTTCCACTGAGGAAATTGTCACAGTTACTCCCATTTTTATATTAAATAAATCATAGCCCTTATAATGGTCTCTGCAGTGATGAGTGTATATGGTAGTCTTAAAATAGTGGATGATAACAGCTATGTATAAGCCAGACTACTCAGCTGTGTGAAAGCTAGATTGCATACTATACTAGAAAATGTTAACTTAATCAGTTTTCAAATCCTTTGTGATCAGTCTTCCCTCCCACCCATCAAAACCAAAAGTTTACCAAGCGATGGCAAATAGAAAAGAGGGCTATCAATTCACAACAATCTCCGAGAGCATTCATTGTTGATTTCTTTAGTTGAAACTGATACCTCTCTTAATGAAAGAATTATAGTGAAAAAGAAAAAATGTGATGCCAAACAAAGTGAAATCAACAAGCAAAAAAATAAAATGTATAATACTATGAACAAAAGACTTCAAAGATAATGTATTTTCACTATAAAGTTTTTAAAATTTTGTTATTAATTTTCATGTTTCAATGTCCTTCTTTTATTTTCCATTATTTCCTCTTTTACTGTGAAATTGCCTTAAGGCCAATTATGCTGCAAAAATGTTTATGGAGGAAATGCTTGTGGCAAAAATGTTACAGCAAACAGGCTTATGATGAAAATACTGGACATGGTTAAATACAGTATATTAAATACAATGATGTGATCATGCACAGAGTTTATAGGGTCACAGAGAAAATCACCAAAGGGTATGAGATAGGTGTCACTTGGGTTGAGTCCTGAAGACTAAGTAGAAGTTGGTTATGAAAAAGGGCATTTCAGAGGGGGCTGTTCAGCCTAGCTGAACAGGCTGGGAACAGTATATCTGAGCACCTGGAAGACAGGATGCTGGAGAAGAGTGAATGGGACGCTTCCTACTACTAAAACATCTGTCTTAGATTTCTGTGTACCTTTGCTACAAAAATCCCCTATGATTTCTGACTTGTGTTCATGTCCTAGGGTTTCTTCCAGGCGATACTGCCAGGCACCACCGAGCCGTTATCCTGGACCTGCTGCAGGAGGCACTAACAGAGGCTGGATTAACCTCCCAGGATATTGACTGCATTGCCTACACGAAAGGTATGGCTGGGTGAGTGGTGAGCAGTGGAAGAATATACCTGGAGCTTGGCTATGTCCAAATAGCCGACAGCTCACCTCTGCTACCATCACTACCTAGACCCCACCTCTCACATTTCCTGCTTCCTCCAGCTCTGTTTTTCCCAATCTCTAAAGGATTCTCACTCCCATTTCTATCTTCCTAGGCCCTGGCATGGGTGCCCCACTGGTTTCTGTGGCTGTTGTGGCCCGTACTGTGGCCCAGCTGTGGAATAAGCCATTGGTAGGTGTGAACCACTGTATAGGCCACATTGAGATGGGCCGCCTCATCACTGGAGCCACCAGCCCAACTGTGCTGTATGTCAGTGGAGGAAATACACAGGTATTTAGAATACTCCACCATTTCTTTTTAATTTCTAAAGCACTGTACCAGCACCTTTTATGCTCTACCTGAGTGGCAGGAACTGCAAGAACAAAACTAGGCTCATTTGAACCTAAAATGTGACACACTAGAAAGTCCACAACAAAGTTTGTAACATTGCAAATTTGGGCAGGATAATCAGAACATAAAATGACTTGTATATATGTGGTTATAAAGATAAGGAATTTCTTAGGAATTTCCTTAGAAACAGAAAGAATGGTAAATATGGAAGCCCTCAAAATAATTAAAGGATTTTCAATGTCATTATTTTGGAGCTTATTTTTTTCTACAGATCTTAGCAATTAAAACTAAAGGGCACTACTCAGTTTGTTTCTTTATGATAATTATATGTTTTGTTTTGCATTGCTGGTAGTAAATATATAGAAGTTGTTATTCTAAGGGTGTGAAAATATAAATAATTTTTAAAACACTTTATAAATGGTTGAATATATTTTAAGTTTACAGGGGAAGCCAGAGTTGTTGGCCTCACAAGATCTTTTTAGGTTGGGATTGGAGAACTTCAGCTTTTTTTGCCAAAGAACACATGATGAAGCTATTGTCAGAAATAGTCATTGTCCCCAGCCTATGAAAGGGTTATGTTCTAAAACTTCATTGTGTGAAATAGTTATTAAAGATGAAGCACACACTTCCATGAAAACAATGTGGGAGCTTTAACAGGTAGTGGGCATGTAGCTGGTTGAGGCCTGAAGGATGACATGCGAGGTTAGGGACTTGGGGTGTGGAAAGGAGCAATGGTGGTTTTCAAGAGTTAAGAGGAGCGTGATCAAGTCTTCTCTTTTCCTCTTCCCTGCTTTGGTGTAAAAAAACGGAAGATGATTGGGTGGAGAAGAGTAGATGATAGAAGACCAAACGCAGGAATTTTTCCTTCCCCTTTTGTCACTAGACTTTCTTTTTTTTTTTTAAGTTTCACCAGAGGATATGTTTTTATTGAATTTTAGAAAGAGGAGGTGGGGGGCGGGGAGAGAGAAACATCGACCTGCTGCATCGACCAGGGATCGAACCCACAACCTTTTGGTGTATGGGCCGACCCTCCAACCAGCTGAGCCACCCAGCCAGGGCTGTCACCAGCCTTTTGACAGCAGAGTAAAATCTACATCAGAACAGAAGGAAATCCTGAGTAGCACTTATGTAGTCCCTAGGAAACACTCACTGCCAGAAATATGGAGCATATGTGTTAGCAGGTGATAAATATTTTCTGTGCTAGAAGTTGGTCACATATGAAGAATGGACATAAGTTGATTGCCAGGATTGAGTTGGGTCGGCCATTAGTCTGACGCAGTAGGGGATTTTTGAGTTTTTTATCTCTACCTCTTGTTCTGTTTACAAATAGCGCTGCCCTGATAAGATACTCTAAAGGGACTCTGGTTCCCTGCCTCTAAGCAGGAAAACCTATTCCCTCGTCTACACTGTCAAGACTGCTTATAAGGCATATATCAGGAACCTCTAAGCTAGAAAAATGTATTTGAAACGACAGTTTGCTTCTGCCCTGACCTAGACTGTCTTCTATAGATTAGGAATCTGCTCTGGGAATATTCAAGGTATATGTGATTTTCTTCTCAGATAAGTGCTACAAAAAATACCCATTCAAGGTTTGGCAAAGCACTTTCTTCCCATTTCTTGTTGGACGCTCTAGTGGCCATGTTGATCCTCTGCTATATTCTTCCCCAAAGCCAAATACTCCTCTTTACAGACTTGAGGTTTCATGGACACCCTCATCACCCTTAGGTGATTGCATATTCAGAACATCGGTACCGCATCTTTGGGGAAACCATCGATATTGCTGTGGGTAATTGTCTGGATCGTTTTGCTCGAGTGCTGAAGGTAAGCCGTTGGGCTGCAGAGAACATAAGATGTGGATGAATTTCTGGGAAGCCATGGAAATGGAGGGAAAAGTAGTAAATTAGCTGCTTATGCTTCCTGGATATCCGACTTAATCCTCTTTTTCTCTCTGCTAGATTTCCAACGACCCGAGTCCAGGCTACAACATTGAACAGATGGCAAAGCGGTAAGGGGCCGTAAGGTGGAAGGAGGCTGACTGCTGGGGCTTCAGGGACTTTCCTGTACATGTATTAATGAGGTTTGGGAGGGGCTTTGGACGGTGAGCAGCCAGCTGACTGCAGGCTTAGTGCCTCATATACTCCCACATAGAGGCAAGAAGCTAATTGAGCTGCCGTACACTGTAAAAGGAATGGACGTGTCATTCTCAGGGATCCTGTCTTTCATTGAGGTGAGTGTGGAAGAGGTGAGGAGATGGGCACTTACATGCTTTTTAATGAAGTATATCTGTTTTGCTCGCCACTGTATTTCCTGCATATAACATAATACTGGCCCGTATTCGATGTCAAATATCTTCTGTGTGCCAGGCACTGCTCTAGGCAATAGTGATCTAGCATAGAGCAAAACAAAAATCCCTGCTTGCTTGGAGCTTGCATTCTAACAGGGAGACAGAATAAGATACAAAAGAGAAAAAGGAACAAAAAGGGGACAATAATAAAATATGAAGGGTTAGATAGGGGTTAGTGTAATGGAGAGAAATTCAGCAGGATAAGAGAGGGGTAGGGGGTGGTGCCAGGGCAGGTATTCATAATTATTGAATCTTAAATGAACGCTACCCATTCTGTCCATTGGTGCCAGTGAAGGGCAAAGTGTGGTACGGGGTGTGCTGGATGTATGAAACATGGTGATACTCCAAGTGCACTAATTNTCAGAACAGAAGGAAATCCTGAGTAGCACTTATGTAGTCCCTAGGAAACACTCACTGCCAGAAATATGGAGCATATGTGTTAGCAGGTGATAAATATTTTCTGTGCTAGAAGTTGGTCACATATGAAGAATGGACATAAGTTGATTGCCAGGATTGAGTTGGGTCGGCCATTAGTCTGACGCAGTAGGGGATTTTTGAGTTTTTTATCTCTACCTCTTGTTCTGTTTACAAATAGCGCTGCCCTGATAAGATACTCTAAAGGGACTCTGGTTCCCTGCCTCTAAGCAGGAAAACCTATTCCCTCGTCTACACTGTCAAGACTGCTTATAAGGCATATATCAGGAACCTCTAAGCTAGAAAAATGTATTTGAAACGACAGTTTGCTTCTGCCCTGACCTAGACTGTCTTCTATAGATTAGGAATCTGCTCTGGGAATATTCAAGGTATATGTGATTTTCTTCTCAGATAAGTGCTACAAAAAATACCCATTCAAGGTTTGGCAAAGCACTTTCTTCCCATTTCTTGTTGGACGCTCTAGTGGCCATGTTGATCCTCTGCTATATTCTTCCCCAAAGCCAAATACTCCTCTTTACAGACTTGAGGTTTCATGGACACCCTCATCACCCTTAGGTGATTGCATATTCAGAACATCGGTACCGCATCTTTGGGGAAACCATCGATATTGCTGTGGGTAATTGTCTGGATCGTTTTGCTCGAGTGCTGAAGGTAAGCCGTTGGGCTGCAGAGAACATAAGATGTGGATGAATTTCTGGGAAGCCATGGAAATGGAGGGAAAAGTAGTAAATTAGCTGCTTATGCTTCCTGGATATCCGACTTAATCCTCTTTTTCTCTCTGCTAGATTTCCAACGACCCGAGTCCAGGCTACAACATTGAACAGATGGCAAAGCGGTAAGGGGCCGTAAGGTGGAAGGAGGCTGACTGCTGGGGCTTCAGGGACTTTCCTGTACATGTATTAATGAGGTTTGGGAGGGGCTTTGGACGGTGAGCAGCCAGCTGACTGCAGGCTTAGTGCCTCATATACTCCCACATAGAGGCAAGAAGCTAATTGAGCTGCCGTACACTGTAAAAGGAATGGACGTGTCATTCTCAGGGATCCTGTCTTTCATTGAGGTGAGTGTGGAAGAGGTGAGGAGATGGGCACTTACATGCTTTTTAATGAAGTATATCTGTTTTGCTCGCCACTGTATTTCCTGCATATAACATAATACTGGCCCGTATTCGATGTCAAATATCTTCTGTGTGCCAGGCACTGCTCTAGGCAATAGTGATCTAGCATAGAGCAAAACAAAAATCCCTGCTTGCTTGGAGCTTGCATTCTAACAGGGAGACAGAATAAGATACAAAAGAGAAAAAGGAACAAAAAGGGGACAATAATAAAATATGAAGGGTTAGATAGGGGTTAGTGTAATGGAGAGAAATTCAGCAGGATAAGAGAGGGGTAGGGGGTGGTGCCAGGGCAGGTATTCATAATTATTGAATCTTAAATGAACGCTACCCATTCTGTCCATTGGTGCCAGTGAAGGGCAAAGTGTGGTACGGGGTGTGCTGGATGTATGAAACATGGTGATACTCCAAGTGCACTAATTTTTGCTCTCATGGCATCTCCCAAACCATTGTTTAATCTGTTTGTTTTCCCCTTTAATTATAGGATGTAGCCCAGCGGATGCTGGCCACAGGCGAGTGTACTCCTGAGGATCTGTGTTTCTCCCTGCAGGTAATGGAATAAAGAGCTGGGACAGAAAGTTGGGGCTACGTTGGGATTCCCTCTGATATTTTCACCTTGTTTGTCCCCCACAGGAAACTGTGTTTGCAATGCTGGTAGAGATCACAGAGCGGGCCATGGCGCATTGTGGCTCCCAGGAGGCCCTCATCGTGGGAGGTGTGGGGTGTATGTATCATTGGACTGTGCTCCTCTTTCCTATTCTTGGGCATGTGCATCTTCCTCCTGATAGTTTAAGGGTTTGGGAAAATTACTAGTTTTATTTCTTATCCTATGCTTCCCAATCCTTGCCCCCTAGTACCTCTACTTCACTTTTCTAAGTAAATGCACACGCAGTATACAGCTAGACTGGAGAAATGACTGAACTAAGTTAACCCTATCCCACCTCATTGTAGGTAACATGAGGCTACAGAAAATGATGGAGACAATGTGTCAGGAACGCGGAGCCAAGCTTTTTGCCACAGATGAGAGGTAAAGGCCCTTGTCCTTTCCTGATTTTTTTCTCTCCAATTACTGTGGTTTTGCACCTTTAGACCCCAAATCTCATCTCTCTTTTCTTTCCCAGATTCTGCATTGACAATGGAGCCATGATAGCCCAGGCTGGCTGGGAGATGTTTCGGGCAGGACACAGGACTCCCCTCAGTGATTCTGGGGTTACGCAGAGGTGAGTACCCCCTTGGGGGGTGTAGATAGTATTATATGGGAGGTAGGCAAAAATCAGCAGAGCAGAGGGACCAGAATCATGAGGGCAGAGAATGGAAGATGCTAAGGGATAGTCATCCACCAAGTTTTTCCATTTTTTTCACAGGTATCGGACAGATGAAGTAGAAGTGACCTGGAGGGACTGACAAGGTTAATGGGATCAGAGTAGATAGTGCACTAAGTGGAACCCATTATGTCTATCCTGACATGCAAGTCCTGGTCAGGCTGTGGACTCCCCACTCCCATCATTTGAACCTCAAGATGATACAGCAATAAAATATTCTTGCTCTTGTATGTTGGTAATTGGCTTATGTTTTTCAGGAACAATATAGAGATGGCACTGAATAAATTGTTGGTGGTGGGGTGAATGGATAAAGAGGCAGAGGTCAGAGCAGCATCCTGGCTGACTGTGCAGGTCGCCTTGGGGATTGCTGCTCTGTGGCTAAGATTGAAGGGATATCTTGGGCCCTCTTTTAAACATCCCCTTAACAATGGTATCCTGACTAATATTTTAGTATCAGGCCTGTACTAACTGCTTTACATTCACTGTCTCATTTAAATTCTTTGAAGTAGGTGCTCAGAACTTCCCTCAAAATAGCCTGGAGCCAGGTCTCGTTGCATACTAATTTATAACTCAAGAATAAAACTGTTCCACTTTGGCCAGGTGGTTCAGTTGGTTGGAGCATCATCCTGTACACTAAAAGGTTGTGGGCTCCATTCCTGGTCAGGGCACATTACCTAGGTTGCAGGTTCAGTCCCCAGTTGGGGCATGTATGGGAGGCAATTGATCGCTGTTTCTCTCTCACAACCCGACTTAAAATTGCACTCCTCCAAGACTTTCTAGCTCTCTTCTCTGTTTTATTTCTCTTCATGGCACTTATCACCTTCTACTCTAATGGTTTTACTTATGATCATTGTTTGTCTCCTCCCATTAGAATATAAACCCTCAGGTTGATCACTTCGTAAGGCATATGTGTAATCACTATATTATACAACTGAAACTAATATAATATCGTACATCATCGAAAAATAATTTTTAAAAAAGAATATAAACTCCATGAGAGGAGGGAATTTTAATCTTATTTTATTCATTGCCATATTATCTTCCAGTACTTAGAATGGCCATTCAGTCAGTATTTGCTGAGGGATGAATACATTGATGGGGAAGTAAACCAAAGAGATAATCAAAGGACTATAAACTAAAATTTGGGCCAAAATTTTTTAAAAAAGAATTGGAATTATATGAGCTTGGGAAAAGAGTAAGTTTCTGATTACTAAGTAGAAAATAGTGATAAGTACTTTTTTTCATTTACAAAGAATAGATACATAAGTGGGTTGAAAATGCACTAAAACAATGAAGTTTAAAATTAGAAACTTTGGGATGGATGATAAAGTGTTTGGAATACAAGTAGCAAGAAGATAAATTCCCCTCCTGGAATATATTTGAGAAGAGGAATGATCTCTGCCTCTCTAGGCTTGGGTAATTTTGTAATTGGGAATCAAGTGAGTTATTAACATTTGCCTTTGGTATTTATGTGTAAGTTTTTATTAATATCATGGGGTGGAGTGGATCTTGAAGGGAGGACCTTTGGCACTGTAGTAGGGCGTTCTTACTTTAGCAAGCTTTGGGCTCTTGTTTGATGCTTCCCAAGAATAGCCTCAAAGTTCATGGAGCCAAGAGACTAAAATCATGGCTTTGTGAGGCTCCTCCTGGCTCAGTCTTCTATAGGTTCAGTGCATTCTGATTTACCAGAATGAAGGCGGTGGGGATGTCAGGCCCCAGGGCAGGCTGACTGAGGGATTGTGGGTAGGCTCCTGTTAGGGAATACAGTGTGAGGAATGGAGCCTGTTCCTCAGTTTCTCCAGCCATTGGACTAGCCCTACCCCTAGCATCTATGCCCTGCAATTTGGAATTTTCCCAGACACATGACTGAGGGCAGCATCCCGAGGAAACATTGCCATAGGACTTCATGAAGACACATGTGCCACTCCAACTACATGGCTAGGAAGAACAAGCAGAGGACAACGTAAGTGCCATTGTCAGTCCCTACTCTGATCCCAGATAGTTGCCCCACTTGCTGGCCCTGTTCCTATATACCTGCTTTTGGTTTGTCTACAGGTCTTGCTCAGAGATGTAGCCTAAAGGAGCAGGAGTGTTGAGAGAGGCAGATTCCAGGTCCCTGTGTGGTGGTGGCTTCTGCAACTGGTGTAAGGTCACCAAGTTTTCAAAAGCCTTTGGCTATAGAGAAAGGAAACACCAGACTTAGCAAGGATCAGAGAGTATCTGTCTTCCCCAGAGAGTTCTGTCCCTGGGGATTTAGGAATAACAGGGCTTCTTTACTCTTCGGTTTTTCTGTCTAAACTTGCATTTCTTCCAAACTGGAAACCATAAACTCATTCAGATGTCAGTAGAAACTACAGCTTCTGTTTTCCCACAGCCAGCACTCCCCACTGCAGTCCTGTCTCATCAGATTCTGGCTCCTCTCTCTCGTTTGCCAGAATATTCAGTGAAAATATAGCTTGTCTGGCACTTGCTCCTTTAGGTACTTAGCTATGAAGGAGGAAGGAAGACAGGAAGAGAAGTGTACGGGGTAGGGGGGTTGGTTCCGACCACATCTCTTGAGGTTTGTCTGTGAGCTCAGGTAGTGGTCACATGTTGGAAGCCAAGCCTGAACCTTCTGAGGATGGAATGTATCCTAGGGCAAGACAAGAGAGGAACTGGACATTTTGCCTACATTTCCAAGTACCTTTTCCTGTCCTTCCATCTGCAACAAGTAGCCCAATACACCCTCCTCCCCTTCCTGTCTTCTGCATTTTAGGCCATAACCTTGGGTTTTCTTCTGTGCCAGTAAGTAGGAGATCAGCGCAGTCAGCCCTCTGATCATAAGAGAGCAAATGGGCCTCCCTGCCTGCCTTCTGTTGGGGACAAGGGAGCAAACCGTGATGGCCTCTGAGGTGGGAGGAGGGTATTGGGTGCTTCGTATGTACAGGGTTTCTTCTCAAGTCCTCCCTCTACTTTATACCCTGTCCTCCCTTTCCTGTTCTCCTCTGGAACTTGCAGGGAAATTGGGGCTTTTAGGGAGCCACAGAGCTCCTATCTCCATCATCACTGAGCCAGTACATGTCCACTGTCCACAGGCCCTGCTTGGACTGGGACAGGGTTTGAGTATCCAATGTAAGGATACTACCCAGGAAGAGAGGGAAAGAGTAAGGCAAATCCTTATCCAGCGTAGCAATTGCCCCCAACTCAATATCAGACCTTCCTTCTCCCAGAACAAAATTGTTGCTATCCCAGAGAAATGTCATGCAGCTTCTCTCACATTCCCTTTTGTGTTCACTTTACTGGGTGCCCTGCTCTTCTCTTCCCCACTCCCCAACTCTATTTCCCCTAAAACAGGATCTGTTTTAGAATTGGTCCCCTCTCCCTTCTGAGAATCCATTCCTATGGCATCCAAAAAACCTTGTATTTACTGGCAAACGTAGAAGGATAACACAAAAGAATGTTGTTGCATCCTTCCTCGAGCTCACCCAGTCAGTGGGGACACCCTAAGTGTAGGCTAGTTAGATGTGTACTATTATTAATTGCGTCTCAGCCTTTTGGCTAAGATCAAGTGTAGATGTGTACTATTATTAGAATTGGAGTACTTCCAGAAACCCTGTTCTGGTATTGGGTCATACCCCCTCCTGACCACACTTCAGTTCACCCTCACCCTACTGTTATATCTCTTTGTCCACATTCCTGCCACCTGAATTTAGGAGATAACTTTAAAGCTTTCCCCCGTCCCTACGGTTTCAGGAGAACTTGACATAACAGGTAGGATCTTCAAAGAAAAATTGATTTTTCTGACATTGTGTTACCTGAGGTCTCAAGTCCTGGTAACTAAGTAAATACACTTACCTCCCATCACTATCTTTGACAGACAATTTCTATACCTTCACACCTCATCCTTCTCTTAGGCCCATCCCTTTTGACACACTTTGATGATGTTGAATAGCCAGGCTTAACCCCTATGGCATTCTTTTCTTTTTCTTTTTTAAAAAAATATCTTTATTGATTCAGGGAGAGGAAGGGAGAGGGAGAGAGAGTTGAAACATCAATGATCCCTGTGGCATCCTTAAGAGGCTGACATCATAGTTATAGTCAAAGTCCTTTATTGGGAAAAAAGGAGATTAAGAGCAAGAGCTGAAACCCTAGCTGGTTTGGCTCAGTGGTTAAGCGTTGGCTCCCCCAGACTGAAGGGTCCCTGGTTCGATTCCGGCCAAGGGCATGTACCTCCGTTGGAGGCAACCAATCAATGTGTCTCTCGCATTGATATCCTCCCACCCCCACCCCACTGTCTTGGAAAAGCAATGGAAAAAATATCCTCAGGTGAGGATTTAAAAAACAACAACCAAGAGCAGGGAGCTCCCCCTTCCTGTGTGGGGACACAGGTGCCGGGAGCTGGAGAGAACAGGGCTTCACCATGATTATATTTCCTCTTCCCCTGGTTTCTGACCATTTCTAAGCCCATCTTCACCTCCCTATCCCCTCCACCCCTCCACTTACTATAGAATGCCAACATAGTCCTCCACAGCAGGTATCGGCATCTCCTGCCAATTTTGCTTGTATTCCAAGACCAGCTGGCCCAAACCTGTGACCTGAAAGGAGGCAATGAAGAAAGGGGAGAGGGTGACAAGAAGTGATGCAGTTTGGCAGGCTGACCTGTATGAGGCTTTGGGCATAGCCTGGGGTTAGATATGACTATATAGGATGAATGAATCTTCCATGCATTTAGCCAGTTGGCATAATTCTCAGAACCTTGAATGGCTTGAGGCTCCTAAGGAAGAGGCAGAAATGTAGGCTGTGAGTCTCCCTCCCTCAATGCATCTTTCTACCTGACCCTCACTACTCCAAATTCCCTGAGCTCACTCACTGACCTGTTGATCTTGCCACCCCTTTTTCTTTCCTGTACTCAGTCCCCTTGCACTGAGAGTCCATTCCCTCTTCTCTTACCAAGACCACATTCCCACAGATCATGAGACTCATGTTTTTGGTGAAGGCTCCCACAAAATCCACCAGGGCTGGACGCTGGCTAGGGGAGATAGTTAGTACCAGGTGCTGTGGTCTGTGGAGAGGAAGGCAGAGATAATGTTTAAAGTAGAGGTCAGCTCATTACCACCCACTGGAAGATTTTAGAGAAGATTTTAGGGAGAAAGCAAGAGTATTGGGCTTCTCCATCTCACAGCATAATGAAGGAAGCTGGTTCCTGAGGCATCTCCTGCCAGGGAGCATGCCCTCCTTAGAGAACCCATTT